TAGATTCAAAAAATGACTGGTCTCTTGAGCATTAAGGTAAACCATTTGGTTGATATTCCTAGCTTTCCCAATAGGGGTCCCTATTTTACAGGGGAAATCGGTCTTTCAAGTCTGAGTCAGGTAATATAAATCCACTCCACAAAAAAGACTCTCTGTAGGCTTGATTTTGCAGGCAGGAATTTCAAACCAAAAAGAAAAATGTTACAAGATCCATACAAGTGTCATTATAACCTAGGACTGCCTATGAGTTTAATTAAATTTTATCTCTTTCAAACAACAGTCCAGTACTGCACTGTCTCTGTTGCAGCATCTCTTTCCTTCGCTAGAGAAGGGCAGGCCACACCACTACTCAAACTCTTCCATAGTCACTCTATATGACACCATATTTAAACATCCGTATCTCTCCATACTGTACTCATCCTCTAATACATTCTGAACTACCTCTGAAGAGCAGTAATTGACTACCAAACACACAGAAAACAGGCACATTTAAAAATCATGTCTGTAACAGAACTTGTAGGTCAGTTTTGTGTGTTTCCAAAAGACTAAAGATGGAAAAGCAAATGAAGATATGATAAATAAGCACACTATCATGGGATGAAAATTCTAGATCAGAGTGTTTAAAATTATTCTAGCTCCAAATACGCCTCTTGTCCCAAGACCAGGGGTACATATTCATCTCACCATCAAGGGAGCAAAAATGTGTCTTCTGCTTCTACTTTCTGACCACACTTTCAACAGACATGAGACCTGCAGTATCACTTTCATTTATAAAGATGAAACTGTAAATAAACAAAGCTCCAGGAAATTGCATAATAATGGCCCTGAAAACATCCTCAAAAGCATACACAAAAGGCACAGGTTTCTCAGAAGGTAGTACATAATCTGCTTTATGTACTGATTTGAACCTCTTTTAGATGTAAATACACGAACTTTAAGAAGTTGTCTAATACAACTATCATTTAGCTACATTAAAAACGCTGTTCAACTACCTCTTCTTGACTTGCATGAGGACCATGGATGCATCTATATCTGACTTTGACATTATAAGCTAGTAGCTGATGGCTGGAGGGGAGAGGGTAAGAGGAAGTGCCTACAATTCACTCTTAATGGATGTTTTTTCACTTCCCTCCTTCCTTCAAGATATTTTTAAGAAACATCAAATCAAGCATAAAAGTCAGAAATGTCCTGGAGTGGAGATGAGTAACACTGCATAACACTACAGTCTGATTATGACCCAATTGTCAGAGAAAGGGAAGCTACATTAGTATCAGAATGAAGGGGAAAAAAAATTGAAATTACTCCCTGCGAGAGTCAGAAAGCTTTAGCTGTATCAGCATTCCTATTATAAGATATGTAGTACAACAGGAGAAAGCTAACATTTGAAATGCTTATTTACCTGCCACTTAAAAGCTTCCCCAAAAAGTAAAGATTTCCAAATGCAAATTGGATAAACACAAATATATACTGAATTCCTCTACCTTCTCCCATGAATAAAGATTAAATCTTTTTCTGAACTATCTCACTAAGAAAACCACCCAAAGGATTCTACAGTTACGGAGAATCATGACCTTTTTTCCCATTTTATGCTACAGAAGTAGAATTCTGCACTAAAAAGCACTGAAAGAAATCCTAGGAATTGCAGGTTAACAAGTTACCACCTGAGGGTGAGGAAGTTGCAATCTTCCAACAACTGTGTTTTCGATCAGAGCCACATTTTATTTTGATGCACACTGAAGATCATACGTATAACAATGCATTTTTTCAATACTTTTACTTTTTTTACATTTACTTTTCCTAATGTAATTATGTGCTCTTAAACAGCATATTTTAAGACTTCTGTTCCATTTTTCGTAGATCTCATTGCTACTGCTTTCTGTTGAAAGAATCAAACACATTTTAAACAATCTGCACATAAACATGCAGGCTTACACCACAAAGCAGCAGTTCAAACTAAGGACTAACGCAACTTCAAACTATTTCAATACAGTAGTGACAGAACCCATTAAAAACACTGCCAATTTCTTTGCTCCTTTGATGGAAGAGTACAGCCCTTCTATGTTTAAAATACGACACTGGAACCGGAACCATAAGAATAATGTGAATAATTACTGCACAAATTTGTTTCCAACCCCAATTGCAGATACCTTATCCACACCATGGTCTAATATTTATGCTTAAATAGGCTATTCACAGTCATTTGCAAGTAACCTTTATCAAATGGCAAAGTTACTTAAGTTTCATGTTGACCACAGACTATTCATTGCACTTCTATCAGTATACTGCCATATTTTAATAAAACATACTGCTAGGTCATATTGGAAATTAATTATTGATCCCCCTGCAATGTTAAGATTAAACTTTTACAACCAATTATTTTAAAATAAGTTAGCTAGAATGATGAACAGTTATAAAGTAAATTAAATTAAAGTAATAAATCATATGCTATTTACTATGTATCAAAGTTTGTTACCATCATTGCACAACAAAACATTAACTGAACTTTAAGGAATGTGTAAATGACTACTGCTGCTTGATGCATTTAATATTTTATTAACAGCAATATACATTTTTCATGAGAAACACTGGAAACAAAGTGACTGCCACAGCTGGCAGAGAAAATGGGCATGAACTTAACTTATATAGTTCTACTGGCAGGAGAAAGTGCAGGAATTTAAACACAGCTCCATAAAAGCCTACCTGGCATTAGGTAATAAAGGATTACTCAGTCAACCAGAAACCAGAGCTTATAATACTTAATTGTTGCATTTCCAAACTACTCTTGAATTATAAAACAGTTAACAACTGTATGTTTACAATGTAAAGACAGGTTCGTTGTACACTGTGTGATAAAAGAAGAAACTTAAGAGGTTTAAAATTAACCCTCAATCATAAAAGAATTATAGAGATTTCTCAGTAGCTGTCATTGGTTTAATTTGGACTTCCTCTATTTTAGGTACACATTCAGTTGCTTAAGGCATATGTTAAATCCATCTACAAAGATAAGACCTCACAACTAGATATGCAGCTCTAAAGTAATTTTTTATAATTCATCACAAAAACAATTTGTATGATGCTGTAGAAGAATCAACGACTACTATGCAAATATCTCAAGTACGTTTTCTCCCAATAGTATCAGAAAAGGCCACTGTTAACAGAGAAATGCAGAGTTCAGTACTCCAGTCATACCAATACTGTATGTGTCCTTGAAGATATTAAAGGAAACAGTAAAGTTACTTTATTACACATATATGCATAATCAGTCATCTAGTTAGACATACTAAATGCTGAATTTACTACTTCAAATTTAGAGCTTAGTATACAAACACTACCAATAATCTATGTTCCCCTCTCCATTACATATTGTGGGTTTCATCTACTACATAGGGAACAAAACCACAAATAAAACACATTATCTTCCCAAGTTGCTAGGGCATGTCTGAATTATAACTCTCTGATTAGTTGGGAGTTTTTTGTTGTTTTGTTCTTTCACAAAAGTAGATACTTCTGAAGCAAGCCAGTTATTTGTGAAATATCTTAAAACACCAAAAAACATGAAGGCCACAGAGAAACATGATAATCGGTCCTTCCAAAACATTATCAAAAACACAGGGAAGTTGCAGTAAAGCCTGAAAAAGTCGAAGTTCTCCCCTTACACTGAATATTAGTTAAGAACACAGCCTCTCCTCCGATCACCAAGATGGCATGGAAGTAGCAATACTGATATAGGGCATATTCAGTTTTCTTTAAAAAAAAAAAATCAGAGGGCATTACAAGCCCAACCAGGGTATTCATCTTGCCTCCAAACAACAAAAATCTTCCAATGTGACAATCTATTGCAGAGCTGTGCGATAAAACTACAAAATACTTTGGGTATGCACAACACTGGTCTACAGGAGATGTGACATGTGTGTTGAAGGATTAGGTATCTACAAGAGGGGTGGAATCACTGCACTACTGGAAACTTAAGAGAAGGAAGGACTCTGTGAAGCAGGTGAAATCCTTGGGCAGCCAAAATTGTCACAGCTTCAAGAAGTGAACAAATTCAAGACTTCACACCCCACAGGGTCACTAATTAGCATAAACCCTAGACTTTGGGGTTTTTATTCAGTAGGCGGTGTGACAGGATGAATGGAGAGCACTCTCACTAAAGTGCACTGACGCAAACTCCCATCTCTGAATACTTGCACATAATTTAACTGCTACAATAGTTACTGAAATGTTTCTAACTGTGAAACAAATCATGTATTTACAGTTATTAACAAGCCTGGAAAACAAAACAATACAGCAGAAGTAAATATTTTGGCCAATGGTGAACATAAATGTTATTAGTAGGGAGAGTACACATAAGTAGACAAGTATTATAGAACAGCTTGAATTAAATGCCTTTTTCCCTTCTCTGGTCTTCCAAAATACTGACCTAAAAAATTAAAGGTTTCTCTAGAGATTTGTCATAGATATATTTTTTTTGTAGCAATGAACTACACATTACTTTTTTCTAAAATGCCCCATCAGAAATGTCCAGCACTGTTATCACTATATCACTTGTGTTTCACAATTGTAAAAAGACAAACTGAGTGAGAGGCAAAACCTGCTTTCCACAGTAACTGTGCTGTGAACATTTTGTTAAAGCAGAATTGAACTGAAATGTTATGTTACATAAAGTAAGCTCCTTCTGTAATTTCAGGTCCTTTTTGTGACATCCAGACATGGTAAAAGTCTAAACTAGATGGCTTCAGTTACAGATACTACACTCAATTTAGAAGACCACTTACGCAGGTCTATGTTAGTAGCAGGGTTAAACACACGCTTGTTTAACATAGTAATCTTAAGACTTGAATCTTCTCATTAAGAGCCAGTTACATCAACTACAAACATCTTGGGTAAAAAGCACTACTTTCTGATTCAACACACACACGCAAATTCCAACTGTACGAAAAACAAGATTTCCAAAACCAGAAAAAAACAGGAGAGCTACTGTAATAACATTAAGTCCTTACCCTACGCATGGCTTCCTCCTCCTCTTGACGCTTCTCATAATGTGCAAAGTCATCAAAGATTGAGGTGGTATGCTTGAAAGTAGCAATTATTTTAAGCACTTGCTTGGCTTTTTCTAGGGGTACCTCTTGAGTGTCCCTCGAATTGGTAACCGGCTTGTTGTCATTGTTTTCCAAGCGAATATGCCGCAGTTGGTTATTGGGAACGTCTTTGACAAAGATCCATTTGACATCAAACTTCCCCTTCCACTTATCCTGAGACCAGACACCAGCATATGCATTGTAGTCCACAACAGACTTCATCTCAGCCACTCCACAGAAGTGTCCACTGCCATTCACACTGAAGAGTAAATAGAGTGGGCCTTTTCCATTCAGGGACCGGTAAGCAGCATCCAAGCGCTTATTACCATGTTCAGTACTACACCAGATAGAGTACTTAATGGAGCGATGAATATCGTCCTCTGAATAACTTTTGATTATAAACACACGTCCATTCTTCAGATTCCAATCGAAGTCTTTGGGATTGTAGTTGTTTATGGCCTTTAGTTTCTCCAGCACTGGGTGCACTTCCACACCAGAAGGTGAGGAGCTGACAGATACAACACCTAAACCAAAGTTCTCACTGCCAGCTCCGTTGTTCTGGCTGAAGCCCACACCCCTATTACGAGGGGCTACCCAGCGGTTTTGCAGCTGTTGCTGCTGCAACTGGTGAGGCTGGGCCTGCTGCTGAGGTCCTTGTTGCTGTTGTGGTTGCTGTGGCTGAGGCTGCTGTTGAGGCAGTTGGCTTTGCACCAGTGGTGGCGGTTGAATTAATGGCTGAGGCTGCTGGATTATAGTCTGAGGAGGCAGTACTGGTTGGGCTGGGGGTGCTTTTACCACTGACCCTTTGTCATCCCAAGTTCCAATATTCATGTTGTGTTTTATAGGTGGCGGTGGTACAGCAGGGCCCCCAATGCCCACATTACCTTTAGGCTTGAGTTTCGGCTGAGGTTTAGCAGGCTTCCTTGCAATGGCAGCCCAAGAGGTTGGTTTAGGTGCTGAACTGCTAACTGGGGGCACGCTGTTTGCTGCAATGCTTGTCATACCTGTACTGCTCAGAACTGAACCTACAGTTTTTGTTACAGCAGCTGTCATATCTCCACCAATTTTCAGTCCAGTCATGCCTTGCTCAATGCTGCTAATTCCAGGCACCTTGCTCAGAGTATCACTGCCAAATCCAGCCTGTCCATCTGCTATGGCTCTCCCAAGAGAACTAGGTGGATAGCCATAGCTGCTGCTGTAAGCAGAGCTTTGCGTTGATTGTCCCTGAGATCCACTCGTCCCCCATGTAGAGAAGTCTGCATTCCCAGGAAAAAAATTAAATCCATGCTGCCCCAGAAATGGAGGGGTATTTCCTAATGCCCCAGGTTGACTAAATACACCATCAGGTATGTAATGGTGTTCACCATTACTCATCTGTCCATAAGTTGTCAAGTATGGCATTGGAGGGTCGCCTGCAGTTGACCATGCTGCTTCGCCTAAAGAGTACGGAAATCCAATGGATGGAGCATAATAACTAGGCATGTATGGGTCTGACATTGGTGGATAGCTGTTACTCTGCAAGAAAATAAAACAAAAATCAGCAATACATAAAATTATACACAGGGCAAAAAAACCCCAGCAAACTCTAATACAGTCCAAAACATTTTTAAGGACTATATGAATGCCTTTGTAACTGCCAACGTTCCCCTGCAACATAAAAAGATGAACAATGTATCTGTTAGACACGGCCATTTTTTCTTCAAGAGATCTCTTCAAAGCACTAAAGAGCCCCATTATTTGTAAAAGATTATCTTTACTCTCAGTTACTGAGCTAGGCTTAAAATGCCTTCACGAGAACAGTTTCAAGACAGTAACAAGCTACTTTAAAAACAAGTCACAACTGTAGTTTCATAAATATAAAAAAATAGCTGCAACTATGATTTAAAGTTTTTGTATTCTTAGGGGTTTTTTTGTCAAATTTCTCACTTGTAATTGGAGATACCTGCCAGAATATTATAGTGAAAAGGATGCCTGTTTGTTTCAGGAGGAACAATCAAACCATAACATTTCCACACTATTGAGAATGGGTATTAAGTACAATCTGTGGTCTAGTAGAACAAAGTTCGCTAGCTAAATTCAAATTCCACTCCTGAGACTTCTGGGAAACAACAGCATTTACTACTTAAGAAAATAAAGCTCCAAGACATGTGAAGGACTAGCCCCATGTGACTCCTGATGATGTTTTGGGGAAAAAAACCTGCACATTATCATCCTCTAGATGATGCCTCCTTAATGTTGTGTTATTTGGAAAAAATGAGAAGGCAAGCAAAATTCTCAAAGCCTTTTAATAATTTGCACTTTCTCCCTCTCTCAAGACCACTACAACTTACAGACTTAATGAATATTAACTTTCAACTACAGAGACAATTCACAGCTCTGAAAATAAGTCATTAACTTCCCAGCAGAAGAGTTATGCCAAGCTGTAGTAATATTAAGATTCAATCTATTATGTCATCAACTGTGAGCTATTTCTACTAACTTCAAAGGAAATCATGTCCAAGCAGTAATGTTTTCTCAGAGCCAAAGAAGCTGTTGTTTTGAACTGCATCCAATATATTATGATTTCATCGCAAATTGAAGGTGCGGACTTTTGCTTTGGGGTTTGCATTTTGGGTTTGGTGTTTCCCCCCCTCCCCGCCCCAAGCTCTTTTAAACTTCATCTTTCTGAAGTCAGAGCACAACCACAAAGGGAGACATCAGAGTGTGCTTTCTAACTGAACCTTTTCCAGAATTAAGAAGAGTTTAAGATATCTTATGGTAACATAATATACAATATAAAATTATATCAATGAATATTCAGGCAAGTAAGTAGTGCCGATTAATTTTTGGATTATATTTCTTAAGTCTGGAAGTCAGTTGAACTCAAAAATTAACTTGAAGATAGTAAGCAATGTTCACTTACCTGATTTGTCTGACTACTTAGATATGGCTCAAAATCATCATCATTTACTGCATCCTTTTGATGAATCGAACCGTTTTGCACTGAAACTAGAAGTAAATCTGTATTAGGTATACTCTCTGAAAGATACATGATGCACTTTTACTCTAGATAATACTTCTGTACACTGAAATACTTCTACCTGTGCTTTGTTGAGACTGAACATATCATTAAGCTCCACTTAGTTAAATTTAAAGGAAAGAGGTGGTTCTATTGATGACCCCAATCAGATCTCAGGAGAGGTCTGGAAAGATAGCAAACAGAGCAGCCTATTCCTTACTATTTGTTCCTGAGTTCCACAGAGAGAGGAAAAACTACAGGCGCACCTTATTTGCACAGGCAGTAAATCCAGCGCTTCCAGAAGTACCAGACCAAGTGCAAATGTGCAGACAAACCAGATCAGACATAGTCAATAGGGCCAGGAAAAGTTGCAACACACAGCTTTATCCTTCCAGGAGGAAAGTCAAGACCCACCAAGACAACCATGAAGGGTACCACTACCCGGCTGCTTAGTTCGGTATTTACTATGTAAATATTATGCTGTAGTGCATTAGTGACATCTCTGAAGCTCACAGGGTACAAAGCAAGATAGAAACAAGTGCTAAAGTCCCCAAGGGTGATTATAAACCCTTCCCAACATGTACGCCACTACATGCTAGAATCAATTCCTACCCACTTTTCTTGGCCTCCTAGTACCTTTAATTTTATCTGGGCATTACACCTACCTGGGATTTTCCAGCTGTCCAAATTATTTGAAGTGTCTCTCCACCCTCCCCCAGGTTACTATTCAAACAAAGTCAAATTGCACAAATTTCTACTAAGTTTCATTGCTTCCCATGGTGCAAAGCAAAACAGGGACTTAAAACAGCAATTTGCAATTATACAACTTAAAGATTAAGACCTCTTCTCAAAAATAAATTACTGTTTTTTCAAACACAGGTTTTTTGTTATTTATCAAGTAGGTGCAGTAAAAACAAAAAAACCTCCATTGCAAAAAAAAAAAAACAACCCACACACCACCCCAAAACAAACAAAAATCCACTAAGTTCTGGGGTGATCTGAGATCCAAGTTTTGGACTGCACTCAGATACCATGACAGCAGAAGTTAAAAAAACAGCAGATTTTCTGACAGCTGGAGACACTGAGCTAGGAGCTGACTCTGCACTTATCTTCCTTTAGCAAAAGTTTCTGAAGAGTATATACAATTATGTAACTAAACCTTCAACTTTCTTTGAGGTAGTGTTTAAGAGTGGAAGAGTTTTTTTGTTTTATTGGTTGTTGGGGGTTTTTTGCCACCAAAGTTCAAATTGCAAACCAAGTGGTACCTGGACCAAGTAATTCCATTTTTTTTCACATTTGACTTTAACAGCTCTAAAACACACTGCCTTCAGGGGAGGAAACTAGTTGGAAAATGGCAAAGGAATGGATATAATCACAAGAAATAACCAAAATTTGTGGGAAAAAAATATATTCATTTCAGAGAGCAGTAAAAAGAGTTGAAATTTAATAATGTAACACAGAACTACAGAAGATTTTTTTTCAAAGCAAGTATCTGGGCAGGACAAAAGTAACTCATGTTCTAAATAGTTTCCTGAAGTTTTTAAAAAAGTCAGAAAACTTGACACTTCAGTTATTACAGAGTGGCACGGTGTATTTGCATACTAGCTACAGCCAAATACAACTAATAATGGTGAGTACAATGGGGTTTAAAACATGATAGAACAAGATTTCTAAATTAAATGCCAAATTTAAATTAACATTAGCTGTTGAGAGGTTTTTTTTCCCATAAATATTTTCAGTTAAGGTCATTAATCATCCTGAATTTACCCACAATGGTAACACACTAATGAGCTGGAACACTATATTCCTCTTTGTATTTGGCCCAGTCACACACGGGATGAGCGTCAAAATCATTTGTCCACTGCCTAGTCTTAACCAAATAGCATGGAGAACACAATTCTAAAATACAATTCTGCTATAATGGAAAACATACATGGAGGCATCAAGTTTCTTAAAAGCACACAACCACAAATAAAGGAATAAACTGCTGCATGTCAAGACTAGAATCCTATCAAAATTAATCTCCTCACACTGACAGCTAATCTTCATAAAACATGCATCTGCTGTGTTTATTGTTTCAGAGGTATCTAAAGGTCACCTAAGCCAGAATTATTTTTGCTCTGCTATTACAACTAACAAAGAATACTCTTCTAAATGAATTTTGTTTCTTATTTATTCTGTATTGAGATCTTAAGTCAGTGACACAAAATATTTTATACCGATGTCTTTCCTAATAAAGATATACATTTCCCAGTGAAATAGCATCACTGAAAGTGTGCTGCTTTGGCTTTTCATTCTAACTTTATGTAATGTGTTAATAATGAAGAATGTAGCCCACACACACATTTAACAAGAGCAAACAGATTAAGATGCATGCCTCATTCCCAAAATCTCACATTAAGTGTTCCAACTGAACAGGGCAGTGATGAAGAATACTAATTGAAACTAATCTACAGTTACTAAAAATATCTGTATCAACCCAACCCTGAAAATACCATAAACTTCCGCAAACACTGTGAAAACACAGAATGCAATTAGATATTGGGAAGAAACAACTTGTCAAATAAGGGAACTTTAAGCTTATATTCCTTCAACTGCTACTATCCTTTGAATAATCACTTACAAAATGCACAAATGATTGCCAAAGGCGTAAGAATAAAAATTTTCATAAGAAGAAAGTGTTACACTTTAATTAATATGCAGAATAAATACTAAAAGAAACAGGAACATTTCACTCTTGTTTTAAACCTAATGCTTACCATTATGCCTACTACAAATAAAAAAACCCCAAACACATATATATGTAAACCCAAGTCAGCACTTTCCTATCACAAGTGTGATAGGCTGTTCAGAACAAACAAATGAAGGGGGGGGGGGGAGGGGGAGG